TGTCAAAATGCTTGCCGGTTCGCTGCTTTAGAACATTTGCGGATGGTCCGACCGAAAAGGGGACGCGCGAGGCCGGACCGTGGGGAGCTGCCTTGCAGGAGGGCGGGTGCCTTTCCTGCCCATCCCGGTATTGATGGCTCCAGCCCTGCCTGCCCGGCGTGTGCTAGATGCGCTGCACTACAGCTCCCATCCCTTCCCCCACCCAGCCTAGCCACGGATCTTCCCCACCCTTGGCTGTTACTGTCTGTGGTCAGGGTGAATGTTTATGAAGGCTACAGCAGCCGCGGCAAGTGGAGTCTGGCGTGGAAGCTAGCTGAGAAGGCCTCATCCACGGATCTGACACACGTGTCTTTTGGAGCACAGAGACCCCTGAGGCCCCTCTGAGAAGCGTCATTGGGGTCCTGTGGGAGATGGCCCTTCTCGTTGCTAACTTTAGAGCTGGACTGATCGGGTGCGGCCTGCGTCTCTTGGCGCAGAGGCCGCCCCTCAGAGGAAGGGTCTGGGGGCTGCCAATTCCTGCAGGCCACGTTCTTTTGTGGCGAAGACGCTGCTGCTGCTCTGCTGGCCACTGGCCTGCTTGGGCTCTTTTTCGGCACCTTCAAAATGTTGATCCGATCAACACACAGAGTTTACATAAAACAATCTCTTTATTGCCTAAAACGTCGCTCTAAATTCCGAGCGTTTAATCGGTCTGCCTGGGCTCCTGCATCGTTCAGTCACAGCAGCGTGATGGAATATTTGAACCTGTTCCCTGTGACTTCTCCGGGACGAATCCTTTCCTGCCTCTCCCCCCGCCCCCCACAGCGCCAGCAGAATGAAGCCTTTCGTTCCCTGCTGGAATGTCACGTGCCAAGTGCTGAAAGAGGAAATGTAAGAACTGTTCATGCTGCAAGATGCTGTCGATGAGGAAAACCCCGTTGCCCCTGCCTTCAGGCGCATTTGGCATCCCAGGGATAAAGCCTTTCTGCCCCTGGATTCCTCCAGCCCCAAAATGAAGCTCAACAGCTCAAGCGACTGACAGAGTTGTCTTTTGCCTCTGCAGCTGACCCCTTCTTCTTCTTCCTCGCGATTTGGGCGCCTGAGCAACGTGGATCTTGAGGACCACCAGGGCCCGGTAAGCAAGGGTCCTGGTGGGAGGTGGAGGGGGGCAGGCAGAAGTGGGGCACGGGAGCGTGGCTACGTCCAGGACCCTGGTTTTGTGTGCTGCGGCATTGACTGCGTTCCGGTACCTTGCAGGACACGGAGGCCTCCCGGTCCCTGCCCAGCGAGATTCCACACAATGACAAACTTCTCTCCCTCAAGTACGAAGTGAGTGCCCCTGAAGTAACCTTCTTCCTGGGGAAAGGGTGGGGTTGGTGGGATCCCGGGAAGGGGATCCCGCTTCTAGTGACCTGGGAGGTGACGCTGGCATTCCTTCGCCTGGGCTGGGGACCCCCGCTTCCCCTGAAGGGTTTCTCCATCTCTTGACCGCCTGCAGAGCTTGGACTATGACAACTGTGAAAACCAGCTCTTCTTGGAAGAAGAGAAGAGGATTAACCACACGGTGAGTCCCCCTCTCCCGGGTATCCGAGACTGGGTGGTCTTGGGTTCTTCCCCTCCTCTCTGGGGCAAAACATCAGGCATGGCTGGGCTTCCTTGGCTCCTCAAGGGAAGCCCAGCGAAGGCAGCTGCTGCTGCAGTTTCCTCTCTCCCTTCCTTCAAGGAACTCGGGGGGCAGGTGGAGGTCTTCCTGGCTGCCTAATTTTATTCTCATCCAGTGCTGTGGCAGAGACTGAAAATGTGCTTCTGGCAGCCAGGTGCAGTTTTGAGTGCTGGATCCCCAGTCCCAATCAGCTCTGCCAGCGCTCCCCAGGAAGCTGGAGGGGGCCAAGGGCTGGGCCAAGGCTTGAAAGGGAGGGGGAGCCCCAGCCCCACATAGAACCAGGGGTGGGAGATCTTGTTTTACCCACGTGAAGTACTTGCAGGGAAAAGACGACGTGAGGTGAGGAAGCCCCGCAGATCTAGAACCCTGCTTTGCCAACGGCCGAGGGCAGAAAGCCCGGGCTGCGTTCTGGGCAGAAAAGCCTGCCTGGGAAACGGCCGGGCTCTGATCAGCTCTCTTCCGATGCAGGCATTCCGGACGGTGGAAATTCAGCGCTGGTTCATCTGTGCCATGATTGGCATCCTCACGGGCCTGGTTGCCTGCTTCATCGACATCATGGTGGAGACCTTAGCTGGGCTCAAGTACAAGCTGGTGAAGGGCAGTATCCTTGGGGGGCCTGGCGGGGCGCAGCCAGGATGAGGCATGTGGTGGCTCTAGCCTCCCCGCTCCCAGGGGGGCTGCGGGGGAATCCAGTCCTCTTCCGTGATATGCCCTTCCTGCCCGCTTCTGCCCACCCTTCCCCCTTTTCTGCCAGTAGCATCTGGAGGGCCGTGGAGGACTGCTTCCCCCAAGCCGCCAGTTGCAATCTCATCTCTGTGGATGGGGCCATTTTGGCTTCATCCGCTGATGATAAAAGCAGATCTGTGAGTGTAGATGCTAAACTAAAAAGCAAACTGTTATCCTAATACGGCAAGCCAAATCTCCGGCTGGGTTGTTTTCCTTCAAGCTTATTTTTGCCCAGATATTGACAAATTCACTGAGACAGGACGCCTCTCCTTCTCTCTGCTGCTCTGGGCCACAGTGAACGCCGGTTTTGTGATGGCCGGCTCCATCATCGTGGCGTTTCTGGAGGTAAGGCTCGGCTCGGCTTCTGCACCCCCCGCCCTGTTGTAGCGGCAGAGCCCCTGCTGACCGGGTCCTTTGCTTCTGCAGCCCGTGGCGGCCGGCAGCGGAATTCCTCAGATCAAGTGCTACCTGAACGGAGTCAAGATTCCCCACGTGGTGCGGCTGAAGGTCAGGGGCGCAGGGTTGTGCGGGGTTGTGGTTCTCCTGCAAGGGCACACACAGACCGACTCTAGCTGTGATGAGGAAGAGTTGTTGTGTGGAGTTACAAGCCTGTGGCTGTGCAGAACTTACCTGGACTTTGAACCGTAAGGAACGCGGGCTGGTTGCTTATAGAGAGGTGGGAAAAAATTGGTTTAAGAGACACATGTGCTTATCGTTTTAAAAAACCAATAATTTGCATTGAAAGTTTGTAGTATAATAAATACAATGAAGTAAAAAAAAATCAGTGAAAGTAGGAAAAAGTGGTGAAAAGGGACAGCCTGGGGCAGGCAGGTACATTCTCGGCTTTGTGCAGCTGCTGTGTGCACATGTGCACCGCCCAGCTTTGGCGGCCGAAGCAGCAAGCGAGTCAGGGAGGAGCGTGCCTTTCATGGCGCAGAAATGTTTCTGGCAAGGGCCTGGAAGATGGGCGTGGAGTCTAGCATCTGCCCAACCCGGTGGCTGCCCACTTGGAGGGGACAGCAGAGTCCCCCCAAGTGAGCACCGTCTGCGTCCTTCCCTTACAGACCCTGATGGTTAAAGTCTGCGGCGTGATTCTCTCCGTGGTCGGAGGCCTGGCAGTGGGGAAGGTAAAGAAGGAGGGGAGGGAGCTGCCCCAGTGCGGGTGATTTGACACTATTTCCCATTGTGTGCTAGGAAATTCCCCCCGCCCCCCCGCCGACCCCGGTTCAGCCATGGCACTTGCTCTTGGGTGAACTGATACCTGGTTTCGGGCCAGACAGGCTCACTGGAGAAGGGAGAAATCGCTCAGAGCCAGTTATGCTGCTGGTTTGGGTGGACTAGCAAGTGAGGATGGGCGAGAATTGGCATTCCTAGCTGGGGGGCTTTAGACCCCCTCCCCTCGCGTCCGTTTATGAGGACTCCCCGTCTTGTCCTGAAAGCCCCTTTGAAGCCTCTAAGTGCTGCTCCCTGGCTTCCAGGAAGGGCCGATGATCCACTCGGGGGCTGTGATCGCAGCCGGGATTTCTCAGGGTCGCTCGACTTCCTTGAAGAGGGACTTCAGGGTCAGTAGCTTCACCCTGCGAGATCTGGGAGGCAGCCGCTGCAGGGTCTGGGCTGGAGCTGGCCTTCGGGGCGGCCGCTGGGAGCTTCGGTCCCGTCCCCGGCAGGCGGCCAGCAGGGAGGAGAGGCCGGGTGTGGCAAGCTGTGGGCACCGGGCGTCCTGGCTGCATGCAAGCTCCTCGTTTTGTGTGCGTGCAGATCTTTGAATATTTCCGGAGGGACACGGAGAAGCGGGATTTTGTCTCTGCTGGAGCTGCTGCTGGCGTCTCGGCTGCCTTTGGGGCCCCTGTTGGTAAAGCACCTTCCTTCTCCCTCCCTGGGCCTTTCTTTGGCAAAGGTGGGGGCCTCTCTCTGGGCACCCAGTCAGATCAGGAGAAGAGCTGGGGGGTGAGGGCCACGGAGGGCTCCTCAGCCCAGGCTGCCTGGCCCCCGCCCAGGGAGATGGTGCCCGTTCACATGTGCCCCTTCCCCCTCTCTGACAGGCGGGGTCCTCTTCAGCTTGGAAGAAGGCGCTTCCTTTTGGAACCAGTTCCTGACGTGGCGGATCGTGAGTGCCG